TCTTCTACTTGTTGCTCAATCTGTTGTCTTTCAAAAGGGGAATGACAATATGGGTGCTGATGAATTGGTCGAGAATCGCCTGTGTCGATCACATGTTCAGCGACATGAGTCTGCCGGATGGGGTTGTCACTACTCGTAAATAGATGGCGGTACTTCTCAATGAGCGACAGCAGTTCATCCCGTTCAGACGGCTGTAGGTGATCCCCAGTCTCTATGTCAAACTCTTGAGGCACTCGATCGTTCTCGGGGGCCGTGATTGCCAGCTGTGCGTCATGAATAGATGAAGCCCATCCAAGCTTTGTTCCGCTGAGCAGGTTTACTGGCGACATGGTAGGATTAGCTATGCGAATGAGGCCTCTCCCATGCACGATCCTCGTTATTGTGCGTGCAACCTGAAGTCCGTTTCTGAGCGTGCTGTTCGGTTCGACGAGGTGAATTCCGTCCCTTGCGACCTTTACTTCAATAGCGACTTCTGTGCGAGGTTCAATGCGAATTTGCTCGTGGCACCGCACTGTAAGTACATCATTATGTTCGGGGGCACTTGAGTCTATACGTAGCCGGAAAATTTCACCGTTTATTTGCAGCTCTTTTTTGGAGAAATCAATGAGAAGCCGGGCTGCTCGACAAAAAGGAAGACCACCGAGTAGCTCGTACGGGCAATCCCTGACCACTAAAAACGTCTCGTGAACTTTGGTGGTGCCAAATTCAAGTTTTATTTCAGCTTCACCATTGGGGGTGAGCAAGCCACCGCCAATTCCTCGGATGAATATGTCTTTTCTCGATTTGAATGAAGCACATATTTTGTTAGCTAATTCTTCTGAGATGACATTTACGGCCGAGCCGGTGTCAATTACAAGTTTTGTTTCTGTACCGTTGGCTCGTGTGGGGACTGTGAGAAGCTGACTTTCCGACAATGTGCCGATGGGGCGGCCGGGCTGGCCCCCTAGGCCCGGCCGTTCTCGTTTCCCGAAGGATTAGGCTGCACATTCTGATTGCCCTGGAGCTCAGCCTCATCGTTCCTGTCATCTCGGAACCGCTGCCAGCACTGTTGTGCTATGTGACCTATGCGGCGGCAAATCTGGCATCGGGGACGCCCGTCGTTGGCACGGGAAGTTCTCTGAGGCCAAGGCATTGGGAGGTGACGCACCTCGTCTTCGATGCCTTTTAGCCTGTCAGACAGCAAGTCAACCGAGTCCGCAATCGTTTTCAGGTCTCTCTCGCGGTCGGCAGCCTCCCGCGGGCAACGCAATTCGGCCGCGGCGCAAGTGGCGACACACGTAGGAGGAGGGTGCCCTGTCGCTGCGGCGGGTGCGAACCCTACGGGATGCGCGATGTTTTGCATCCACGACTGCGATCCGGTGGAATACTGGATGCCAATCGGTTGTAGCCCCGACACACGGCTCATCAAAGCTGCCAGATTTATGCGTTGCAAAATTTGGAGGAATGCAGTGCAGCTCTCCGGGTTTGCGATTATCATTTTCTCCAGAACATCCGGACGTAAACCGCGTATAAGGTGCCGCAACCGATCATCTTCCGTCATAGACGGGTTCACTCTTGCACACAGCTGTACGACGTCGTAGTAGTACTGCTCGGGATTTTCGGACGGCAATCGAGTGCTGTTTTGTAGCCGCAAATAGGCGATCTCGACTGAGTGGCGACTCGTAAAGGACGTTTTTAGTAGCGTCGCCCATTCTTCCCATGTATTAGGGGCACCGGTTAGAATTTGAGTATTGTGCCACTTCTTCGCATCTCCGTCTAAAGCCAGATATAGAAATTTCACCTTCGTGGCTTGGTCCCAATTATTAAGCGACGCTACATGTGCGTAGCAAAGTAGCCACTCGGAAATAGATTCCTCCGGCGCGCCTCTAAAGACTGGTGGTCCGACGAATGGTTTAGATTGGGGGGTAGCATAGCAGAGAAGAAGGTATGGGGTTTCGTCATAGTAGAACAGTCAGAGGTAGGTTCCTGGTATTTGTTGTTGACTCGGGGCATAATTTCAGAGCGGGACTATCGTTACCGAGCAACCTCCACCACTTTGTAGCGAAACGTCGGCGTTGTTCAAAGTTAGGCGCATCGGACGACCAGGGAGACGAATAAGTGTGGGTGAAACTCCGTGGAGGCAATCGATGAGAAGTCAACACGATGATTTCGGGGAGCACTCATTGGGGGTTTATTTAGCTAACACAACTTCGATTTACAAAATGCACTAGGTTACAAAGACAAAGCATAGAAAATGGTGGCATACCCCTCGGCCTGCATGGCTGGACTCCGGTGTTGAGATCCGCTGTTTCCCCGACTCCGCTCTCTTTTCAAATTCAAACATCCTCTCTTTAACCCTTGGTAGAACAAAGAGTCTTCACAAAAACCAATCACATGTTGGGACTCACATCATCACAACCAATCACAGAAACACTTTCATAAAAGGCACTACATTTGTAAAAACCTCCTTACCAAATGAAACACGCAAAGGGATAGGTTCTCCGCACGGGACACTCTCTCCCATGCCAGGCCGTGCTGCCCAACATCAGGCACTGCGCCGTGCTCCCGACCGGGTTGCAGAAATTAGGTGCCTTTTCTCATCTTCTAACCACTACCACCACCATTACTCGTGCTGCCTCCCTCGGCCGACTTCAGTCGGCGGCCGTTCTTACGCTCGAGCCCCGTCAGTTCTTTCGTTAATTGTTGCTTCCTAGAAGCGTCCTTGAGAGCGATGGGTACACCATTGGGCTCCGTGCGCTTACCAGGTGTACATGCGACAGCGAGGCGCCCCGACATCATAACAGCGGGGGAGAATATGGTCGTTTACCTGCCGCCAATATGTCTCGGTCAGGCTAAGTGGTCGCGTCCCCATGTCATTCTCAATGACACGCGTGCCTGCCAACAATGGCTTAAACTCAGACGGTGGCGCCGGACCTGCCTCTTGCTAGACGCTTTTCCGGGTAAGCTTTCCCCTTCTAATCCCGAACGGGGGCGACCTTGACTGCTCCGCTTGTGAGCCGTAAAAGAACAGGGTTTTCCGCAAAACATTGCTCTCGCGACACAGGATTCAATCCTGCGACGTGCGGGTCAGCACCCGAGTACCTTATAATAGCCACTGTAGACCACCATGGTCGGGCTTCATATAGCAAAAATACCGTTGATGTGTGCTCGCAGTGGTTTCACTAATTTGTCCTTATTGGCGATAGGAGGTGGATTGCAAGCACTGTAGTGACGGGGGAGGGGGGGAGTGTTGACACAGACTTTGGGGAAAGGGGAGGCTATCACCACTACCCCCCCCCCTCTCTGGATCATTCGCTGTTTCCAAAAATCACGTGATATCGGTGCTTCAGAAAGCTTTTTCAATGGGCCAGGAGCGATGCTCACATATTATTTTTCTCAAACCTACCACCTTGCTCAATCTTTCAAGTGGTTCATCAAGGTCAAGCGTGCGAAGCAGCGTCAATGTAGCAAGAAAAAAAAACAGTGTATTTTAGGCATTGTAACTGAAGAAGCTCCTTATAGTGATTTTTTTTAAAATTCAGTGCTGACATGTGCAGTTCATTCTTTGTGCTTGATGTATTGATAAGACAGCTGCTCTTCAAGACAGTGCTTATTTCTCTTATATATATACTGAATTTTGTGTGCTCCGTTTCCTATGTAAACTCTTTTATTGAACCTTTCTAGCACATGCACTTGCTTGATATTTCTTATTTTGCCTAGATAAAACAATAACTTTCTATTCATGCACCCGATTAGTTTCCCTTTGGGAAATAAACAATTGTCTTCCTTTATTGCTAGCATAAGCCGTCATATAATTCCTCACAATAATTTAGTTGCTCGCAATGTCTCTTTGTGAAACAATAAAATACACTTTACATCATTTCTGTGGTGAATCTCTTTGATGTTTCAGCACTTGCTTTTATTACGGGTGGTGTTCGATATCTTGCGTTGGCTTCACAGAATTAGCGGTGATTTGGAAAATACTGTTGCTTTAGCTGAACCCTTAGGTGAGCGTGTTGACTTCATTATACCCTCCTTTACTACGGGCACTTCAACAGGGCAAAGGCCAGTGGCTAGGTACGGGGGGGGAGCACACCGAACCCCCATGCCCCCTCCCAAACTTTTGTTTTTGTCATGGTATAAAGACCCCAAAATGACACTAGACCACACCTACCTGCCCCCCCCCCCCCCGAAATAATTTCGGACGAGCTAGAAAATTCCTTAGGCGTGCGCCCCTAGGGCACAGATGAGGTAACCCGGTGGGCGTCCTTTTAGGGCATAAGCGTGTGCCCTCCCTATCAAGGGGTTGACTTAGCGACCCCTGTCGCAACTCAGCCCTCCCCCCCCCCCCCTCCGTGCGTTTGCAAGACATGTCCTTGCATTACCGGTTATAACAGCACGTCTATGGAATAAGTGCTCGGAGCTCTCAAAAGCCTTTATATTGTCTCTGGGCCATTGGCACGTGCATAAGTTCTTAGCGATTAAGTACGAGGAATATGTAAAGTACACTGTAGCACCGTTCAAACGTTCAAATTGCGCGCTCATGCATTTTATGCGCGTTTTACGTATTACCGCGACATCTGTTGAAGATAGCGCAAAGACGTAGCTTGCTCAAGCTTAAGGGAATCTTCGAGGCCACACTAAGACAGAATAAGGTAATAGTAATAGCGTGCTTTGTGTTGAGAAAACAACATTGCAACAATTACGTTTCCAGTTGCTGCTGAAGACGTTATGGCTTATGGCATCATAAAGCGTAGAACTAGAGTGATTATAAGCGTGTAACTGGAGCTGACCACAATGCCAAATATGGCGTACCCAAGACAGTTGTCTGTTCTCTGCCAGCATGTGCGGGTCCTGTGACCTGTCAGAACTCGCGTGTCCACGTGTGTTTCCGCGGGGAAGCGAGCAATGCGTGACGATGCCCAGTTAGTACACTCTGGCCCAGTGGCACGTGTATGCTGCCGTGTGTGACTGTTGCATTGAAGACGCGTTGCGCTGGGCTTGACGTTGAAGAAAGCACCATGAACAGCGTAGCGACTATTCCGAAGGAAAACGCAAGCTACTGCGACGTCGCTTACTGGGATGACAGGTATCGGAACGAGGACACTTACGACTGGCTGCTTCCCTACCATACGTATGCTCACCTCATCAAACAGCACGTCCACGATACCGACCGGATACTCATGTTAGGTAGGTGGTCCAGTTCCAAATATCGAGATGGGGGTGTTTCGCATAGCATCATAATTGCTCTTCCGCATTTTGCCCAAACGAGCGAGTCAGGACCTATAAACTCGATCACGATCGGTTTCAAGCGCGATCGAGATTTGACCGCGTGGTAGTGTTGCACAAAACCGGAAGGATAAATTAAGAGCTGCTTTTTTTATTATGTTAAGCACAACCTAATAAAACCAGCAGATTATTCACGGTAAAAAGACATTATTTTTCATTTAAAAAAGCAGTACTGATTACCTCATTTATGTTTGTCTGTATGTATGTAGTATCTCGTAATTACTACAGTATCGTTAAAACGTACAAATATTACCCAGGTACATTCCTCAGCTTCATTATTTCTTGGTTTCATCAAATCATACTACACAAGCATTCATGGCTTTTCTTTCCGTTTATGACCGTTTGAAATGACGTGCGATATCAAACGTGTTTACAATTAATTAGGTTGGTGACAGCCCATATGAATGAAGGATCCTTATTATTCAACCAATTGATTTTGGCACTCGTGTCTTTCTTTTCAGGTTGTGGAAATAGTCCCGCTCAGTGAACTGCTGTACAAGGACGGCTTTAGGAACATTGAAAACATTGACTATTCCCACGTTGTGATCAACAACATGTCGGTACACTGCAGCGATTGTGCCAAAATGAAGTGGCACGTCATGGATGCCACGAACCTTCAGTTTTTGGAGAGCTCGTTTGACGTAGTAATAGAGAAAGCCACCATTGATTCAATGATGGTAAAGGAAAAGGACCCGTGGAATGTGTCGGAACAGACCAAAGCGACAGTGACCAAGGTTCTCAGTGAGGCAAGTTGATCAATGTTTCTATACTTCTAGCGTACAATACTCATGGGCAGAGAATAGGAAACTTGGAGTAAGCAGAAAGAGTATGTGATGCAAATATGAAATAACGAAAAAAAAGAGTGAAAAAAGTAGTGAAATAATTATAATATCTGGTGTTTAATGTCCCAAAATCATGATATGACAATGAGGTACACCGTTGTGGGGCGCTGTGGAAATATCAATCGTCTGGTTTTCTTTAAGGACATTGACATTGCCCAGTACACAGGGAAAGTAGTGCATGGTGGAAATCATTGTACATTCAGATGTGGGAACACAGAAAAAGAAAGGTGTGGACAGAAAAAGCAATTTGTGTGCTGTAACGGTTCACAAAGCTTTTTTTCCTGTGTTCATCTAACTATGTGTGCAATGATTCCCACCAGAGACGTGCACCGCCCGTGTGCTCAGATTTGGGTGCACGTTAAAGAACCCCAGGTGGTCGAAATTTCCAGAGCCCTCCACTACGGCGTCTCTCATAAACATATGGCGGTTTTGGGACGTTAAACCCCACATATCAATCAATCAATCAGAGACGTGCACCAACTTACCCATCATGAAGTTTTCAAAAAGTAGCCCTCAACACGACTTATGTGACTGTCTTAAGCTGCCATCTGGAAGCCGATATTTTTTTTCTATTGTCAAATTGACAGAAAATGCATGCAAGCACTCTATTTAAGGGATGACACAGTGTTTGCTTACAATATTTTTTCATTTATAAACAGCGACATGCTTTATCGATTGACTTACTTATGCTAGCACAAGGGTCATATTATATCATTCATGGGCTGTATGTTTACTTTCCTTCGTGTTACACTCAATAAAGAAAAAAGTATGTGACATCCACTGCTGTCGAAAGACAGTTCAAATACCCAGTTAGCAAACACCAGCACTAGACGAATGAACTGAAGTGCTATATGCTTTACCGAACTCTAACAAAGGAGCAGTCAGCTACACAGCAGCTTGAAGCATCGAATCAAGTGACAAGGTCATCTACTTATGTAGCAAAATGTTCTTTGTGTTTACATTTTTATAGCTCTAATTGAACACTCTGTTTTTGATTATACTTACATGGTGGAAGGGGAAAAAACATTTATTCTTGTTGTAAGTGTATGAAGAAACAACTTGAAGTAGCATATTGCTTGTGTCACATTGCTATTTTAATGGTGCAAGTACAACATGACATAGTTCATCACATCTGGCAATACATGTACCCCTTTTTGAATTCCTTGCATGTCCTATTCTTTCTATTGCGCCAGCCCAGTAAAGTTCATGTATTCTTTCGCTAAATTTTTTCAATCTACTAACATCCTCTATGAACAGAACGTAACACAATAAAGAAGCATTGCAGTTACGACTTCTATTTGTGAAATGTTTATATGTGCACACTTGCTACTCGTGTAGTGAGCCACTGAATGTTACAGACCGCTTTAAAGTGTGTCACAAATGGCAGTCTGCTCTGTTGCCTGGTGGTTTGCTATCTGTCAAAAGCCTGCCTTGGGTAGGCTTGCAGCCTTTTGTGCTGCAAGGCAGGTTATCACTTCTGCCAGTGGCTTGTAGCTATCCCAATGTTGGCACAAGCTGCTTAAACACATGTCGTTGCGAACCTGAAGATAGTAACGCTTCCAGTGCTTGTTGCACAGAACGGTGACCGGTGATTTCTGCAGTTCCGACATAGCATGCAGATTACGAAGGTTGTGGTCTCTTTTATTATCTGTTGTCTTCACATGATTGTGCCCACCATCTCTTTGTCACATGGCTAGACAGAATGTTGAAATCTGGCTTTCTGTCACTTATATATGAAGTGCAGGCAAGCCTTCATGAATTCACGTTCACAGATTCAATAGTGGAAAAAGTATTAAGACAATAGAAAATGGATGATTAAGCACAAACATCTGTGCAGCCGCTTGTCTTGCTGCTTTCTTCTAAATCGTTATCTTCTTCTCCCTCATACTGATGTCCTGTTAAGACTTGAAGAGATTACTTATATTGGTTATATTGTGAAATTGTGGACACAGGCTGGGAGAGATTCACGAAGGTGACTCTTCTTGTTGTACCTATGCTGTTCATGTTATCCTTGTTGCAGGTCAGCCGTGTGTTGCGCAGTGGTGGCCGCTTCATTTCCATCACGTTTGCACAGCCCCATTTTCGCAGCCCGCTCTACGCAAATGTTCAGTATGACTGGTCTGTCGACACGTTCAAGTTTGGTACCAGCTTCCACTACTTCTGCTATGTCATGACCAAGGGCCGAGAACTTTCTTTGGGTGCCACACCATGCTACCACCTGCCAATCTTTCGACGGAATTCAAACGCTAGCCAAAGCAGCGAACCTGAAAACGAGGACTTTCTTTTGAAGATTTTAGCCTCCTGACACTAGTATGATATTTAGTTCTTTTCACATTTCTAGTTTTTACCTTGGACTGAGATTTATAGAGCAGCATATATGACACTTGTTTGTCATAGATGCATTATTGAAACTGAAAATTGCTTCCTAATATATGGCAGCAGTCAGCTAAGTCAGTTGGTTGGGGCTTTTCCAAAATTCAGCAGACATTTCAATTTTGATAACATACATGTTGTCTTGGTTCAATTTGTCTTGTGCAATATTAACTGTGCTTTGAGAAAATGAAACGCTATTTAATGTTTCTTGTTAGAAAGGCCCTGAAACACTTTCTGAACATACACATTATGAGGACATATCTGTTGACAAGCTCCTGTGAACATGCGAGCCAAATGTTGCTGCAAAAATTGGCTGCCATCTCACCCTGTGTCTTGAATATCCAGCAAAGCTGCATCACTGCACACATGCTAAGGGGTGGCGGAAGGGTGGGAGGGTATGTTGGTATCATTTTATCATTTTGCGTAGACGTAAGTATTGTTTTATCATTAGGTTTAAGCAATTGTAGAGATAATTGCTTTGTGGTAACTGTGGTATGCCATGATTGGTTGTGCGACCATTTTAAGCAAGACAGATTTGTTCCTTTCATCTAGCATTGCATTCATGCTGTTCTTCTGATGCCTTTGATTTTCTGGTGCCATGGGCGGTCTATCATGGCAGTCTTAAAATGAACTGAATGAGTTTCTAGATGGGCCTCTCTTTCATATAAGAAAGCAGGAAGCTTGTGGGGTGAAAAGAGGGCTGTTTCATGTCATTTGGAAACCCTGTGTAAGGTACAATAAACTGCAACCTGATTTTTAGCAGGAATGCAAGGCAGGGTGCTGCTATTGTTCACAGGAGCCTTACCATCCCTTATGTGGTGTTATGTGTGTTGTGGAGTTTTCTTTATTGAAATGGATGCTGAGTTCTATAATGTTTGCCTGATTGCAAAGAAAGATAACGCCTTTTGCCTTCAATTGTCAAAGGGCCTCTAAGCCGTCCAGAGGTTGAAGTTCAGTTTGGACGTCGCAGTTGTATACAAGTCTGTAGTAAACCTGTTCATTGGCTTCTCTGTTCATCTCCTAGAATGCGCTTGCAAGTGAAAATGCAAGAAGTGTGCACATAATCTAGCAGAGAAGCACGCAAGCATCTGTTGTGTTCACGGCGCAAAATTTTCAGACCAACAAGAGGTATATAGCTCCGCTGCAAATATCCAACACGGAAAGTGGTAGTCTCTTGTTAAGGACATACAAAAATTTTCTTGTTGCCCTCTCAGGTATTGGCTGATTTTTCGACCCTACGAACATATTGTTAACATTGATTTACTGTAAGTGAGTCGAATTTACTCGCATCTGCATGGTCAAAAGACATAAGTTTTAATCTTCAGGTCGCCATCGATATTCATCTGGTTAATGTTTCATCTTCTTCTACAGTCTGCTAGGTAGCTCCCGGCAAACTATATTTCTGCTCTTTCAGACCTGAGTCTGCTGTGATGGTAGTGGCCAATGTGTGTAGTAGTCCCTTCCCGGAATGCAAGTATGCTTCCTGGATTGTATAAACTTTCTTCTATGTGAGCCTAATTGGGAAAAAAAAGTGTGTGCTGTTACACTCAACATGAAAGCTGTGAAAAGCATGGAGCAGTGATTATTCTGCTCTTATGTGGCACTCACTGGCTAGTGCACACTGGCATTCTAAACATGCAGCCTACTCGGCATCCATGGTGGGAAACGAAACCTTCATTTATGTTGCAGTGGCGTCCTCTGCCCTTCTCAAGTTCTAATTGATGTAGGACGTCGTCTCCTGTGCAGCCCATGTGGTCTTACGTGTGCACTTTTGTGTAGTATTGACAGTAAAGATGCCCACCCTTTTTATTCATGCCTGCAGGAAGAAGCCTCCCAGCTCTTATCTGTTTTACCATATAGGTCTCCCCCAAGACACCACTGGCTGGTTGAGTTCCGAGATGTCTCTCTCCATGCCGCTTTCAGGCCATCAGTGCAACCACTTATCCACATATGTCCCACACCTTTCACGGGATCATTTCCACTTGCTACACAAATTGCCAAGGAAACCCCATCTTCCACCCTTGTGGCAATCTTTGACGCAGCTCAACCGCATCAGGACGAAACATTCATTATGTGGGGGTATCGTGGAGTCTCGTAGATGTGTTTCTGCGAGGCATCCCAGCACACTACTACAATGCTCCCACAACAGGACGTCAAACAACTCCTTCCATTTCTCTTTGTGCCGGTACCCACTCTTGTTTAAGTAAAAAACGACCTGTTCTGGCATTCCTTTGCATTTCTCACTTGTTTTTCATTTGCAAGCATTCGTCTGGTGCGGGGCTTAGTTCACAGGTAGATCATTGCCTTGGGGGCAGGCCAGAGATTTTAGTATTTTTGTTTGGGTGCATGCGTTCATTCCTGTTCAGGGCGTTCCCTACCCCTGCCATTTGTCCAAGAGCTTGGCTGAGCGCCACATCACAGCCCCAGCAGCCATGTGGGCACTTCTGTGGTGTCCCTGATGTCTGTCTGATGCCTCTAGGCATGGGCCTAAAAAAGCATACAATCTGCAACTGAGGTATCTGCCAAGCCTCTCTGCCATCGTGCTGCTGTATGGGTGTACAGCCTTTCCATCTATCATAGCTCAATTGGTCCTAACCAGTTCAATCTTGGGGTCTGTTTTCTTAAATCCTTTGATTGATTGATATGTGGGGTATAAAGGAGCACTGACATGAAATTTCGAGATCGAGATGTGCCCATCGTTCGATCGCTTGGTATGCATAGGTCTTCTTGGCCAAATTCGAATGGCACTTGTCGCGTGGAATTTATTTTAATTCGATGTCAAACAACGTAGAAAAGCTAAGGAGAAAAAAAAAAAACAGAAAATAGACTGCTCTCCTACATCGACACTAGTGTTAAGTGTTCGGTGTGATAAATTCCACAAATACCATCCTGAGTGATTATACGCTAGCAACAATGGCGTCAAGGATCTGAGTGTGTTTGGAGCTGACTCCCGGAGATGCTCTCACACTAATGGCTCTCCTTGCTGTGTTAAAGCATGCGTGCAATTCGTGTCGCATTGACTGATTTAACATGCGCTCACAGCGTGAGTACGATCATTGAGAGTGACAATATGCGCCAGAATGTCGGGAGAATTGCTGCGCAGTGAGAACCTGCATGTTGAGGCGCGGAAAAAACTGAAAGTGCGTGGTGTTTCATGCCTTTCTAAGCCGATAAACTGCAACGCAGCCAGTGGGTTGAATTCGTACGCACCGATGGACTAGAGAGACTGGAGGCCTGTGAAGAATAGCCACATTTTCTCACTTCACTTTGCACCGAGCTGCTACAGGGTTATCCTGTGTTGGCGAACCAGTTGAGTTTCACCGGCAGTACGAGGCCCCTTCTCGAGGCCGGGGCTAAAGGGAGAGAGGAAGAACGAGTTGGCACTACTTAACCTAGCTGGCGGAAAATGCATGAAGGGGCTTTAGTCTACACCATCAGAGACACAGCTGGACTGACTGCACGTGCGCTCCTAGCAGACGAAATGCCAGTGTGCGTGACGTCACCATTTTTGTGGAAACGGCATCAGCTGTGCAGTGACCTCGACGTGGCCGCGAGGTAGCGCTCACAGCACTACAATTTGGCGGGCTTTTCACCCATTTTGAATGACGTTCGATAGCAGATATATATTCATTCATCACTTGTATGCGTTTTAAGGTTGCGAATCGCTACTAGGGGTTCAATAGCTATCCATTGACGAAAAAATCTTGACATGAGTAAATTTGATGTCAGTGCTCCTTTAACGTCCCAAAACCACCATATGATTATGAGAGACGCCGTAGTGGAGGGCTGCGGAAATTTTGACCACCTGGGGTTATTTAACGTGCATTTAAATATGAGCACATGGGGCTACAGCATTTTCTCCTCCATCGGAAACTGCAGCTGCCGCAGCCAAGATTTGATCCCGCGATCTGCGGGTCAGCAGTCAAGTACCTTAGCCACTAGACCACCATGGCGGGGCTCCGTAAATCTTTCTGGACCAAGGTGTTCCACTCCCTGCAGTGGTCTTGCTGAGCTTTGCTTTCTCAGGCCTCATCTGCAAGAGCATAGATCACAAAGCGATGATACTGAGCTCTCCCCATTCAGTTGGTCATCTTGGAAGAAAGCATTGCTGCAGAGTTTGTTGGAGTGATCAGTTCTTGCATGCACTTTTGTGGTGCCAGCATGTATCGCTACCATGTCCTCTAATGCCTCCCAAGTGTGATTAGCTGCATTGATTTTCAGTCATAGTTCTTCTATTGTGACTTCTTCTCTGGTTTAAAATAGCAGGTATTTGTTCTGGTCAGTAGCTTATTGTACTTCCCGTCCCATCCAGAGGCGCCCTTATTTCAGTATACATGCCTGTACTACTTAGTTGGCATTCCTTCTTCGCTTTTTGTCCGTTTTGGGGAGGGGGGTGTGTTCTTATGGAGCCTTCTCTCGTTTCTCTCCACCACATATGATAAGGGCTTTCCTGCAGCTCTCCGAATATAGGTCTTAATCTCCGGCCGCTGTGCCATATGACTTCAGTGGTGCCAAGGATAGGTTGTCACCTTTCGCATTTTTGCTTCATATCTTCATGATCAACGTACCTCATTTCCACTATGAGCAGCTCAATGTCTTGTCCCAGCATGGATTCGGCGCTTTTTTTGTTTGCTGTAGTTTGCGGTATTTCATGGACGGAGTAAGAGGGTTTTGCCAGTGTTTGAGCTTCCGTCGCATGGTCGTACGCCACCGTCTCAAACTTTTTCTGTGCCACCTCTTCTTGCGGAGCCTCTAGCCACTGTTTCTTCTCGAGCAGCTGCAACTCGGTAAGTCACCCTCCTTTCTGCTATTTCCCGTTCTAACTTGGCTTTCAGTTCGTCAACCCTCGAAGTGATGCATTCTCCTTGCTCCATCATCAATGAATAATAGTGGCTGTCTCATATTGTCAATATATGAGTGGCAGTACCACCTATACTTCTTTGATTGTTCTGAAAGATGTGTATTTCAAGTCAAACCATGTATCGCACTTGGCGCAGAGATTCCACTCTCCAGCAGGTGATCCTTCTACTTTATGAATATACTATTTTTGACTATTCGCCACACCTATCCTGGCATGCATCGATGGCTGCTTGACTCTCTTCATTCGTCAAAATAAGAGGACATTCTAAGCAACTTTCCGGAAATATCACGTTATGCAAATTGGGAATGTATGTCAGTCACACGCATGTGGTCACATGCATGCAAGCAAGCATGCGAGCTTCCTCACTCCCAGACTTGCCAGAGTAAGCGGGTACCCATATCGGTTCCATGCCCCTCCAGTTGTCAGGGTAGTTTGGGAGGATCTTGAAAAAGATTTTTGAGATCCTGTCTCTTTAGTAATTCATGTACCGTTGTTTCAGCAGGTGAGCTTAAGCAAAAGGAATTTTAACAGTCTGCTCTACTTCATTCCTGGGGAGTTGGAGCTGCACAGTGGCATGTGAAAAACACCATAGTAAATGACTTGAGGATCACATTGTACCAGCCATGTTCTTTCTGATACCACATAATATGATCGCAAATCAACACTTCAGCCATTATACACCATCCAAATGTAGGCACTTCAGTGGGTAGTTGAGGCTGCAACCTAAGTTTAGTCAGGAAAATACAAACATTAATAGACATGCTTTTATCTGTGATAGATATACATGATGGATATACAATAATAAATATGCATCACATAATGATAAAGTTTGTCCACTGTTCGGGACTTATCTGTGGAAGCATGCGTGTTTTTCTAGATTCGGCTCTCACTCATGGGGCACTATTAAGCCTTGCTTGTTTTTTTTTTTACTCTATATAGGAGTTAAGATTTTGCATATAGGCCAGTTAGGCTTGTGTGCCACCCTTAAGTGGAAGCGGATCACGTTGTGTGGTAAGAAGGTGATAAAAGCAGGCATAATGAGAACTTTCTGAAGTTGAAAGTGTTATGCAAGCAAAGCACATTGAAGGGATGTTGAACAGAATTTTTGCCTCCAATATTTTCAGCCTAACAGATAAATTGGATTTTGAAATCGATAGAGACAACCTTCATTCCAAGCAGAAACTACAGGATAATAATGAATTTAATGCGTTTTTCACAAACTACTGCGTTTAGCGGCAGCGCTATAAACTGGGGAAGGTGACGTTTCATGACGTCTGACTCGCACGAATCTGGCAAGCCAACAATGCCAGCCATTGCTCGTGTCTCTCCACTCGCTCATATTTTATTTTGGTTGCCAGATTAGGTATGAACAGTGACGGCAACGAACAATGCTTCCAGCTGGAGCAAAACACGAGCGCTTTTGTGGAAAGGAAAAATGAAAAGACATACGAAGAAGAGGAAGAGAAGGACAAAAACACGTGCATCCTGCATGCGTCTCAGTGAGTTCGACATGACAGCTCGCACTCACGAGCAGTCACTGCACGCTGACAATCCATGAAAAATAGAAGCAAATGTTGAAAAAATACGACAAATACCGTAAACTCTGTTCATCGGAGCAGTGGCATTTTCCAAGTCAAAGTTCAAAGTTTCGTCAGGTTTTTTTTTTTTTTTTTTCAATTTTTGTTCAGTATTTCTTTAAGCAAGCAGAATAATATTTTAGCTATTCACGACTGTTCTTCATTGTTCAATAATCTGCAAGATTACCAGTTGTGTTGCAAAATCTACTCAAGAAGCACATACTTATGTCACTCTGAACTCATGAGACATGCTTAATTTTCCTGATTGCCAGTTGATGCCACCACTCTTGTGTATATAGAATGACAGAAAGTGGGTTTTATGTGTAACCTCTTGGACGTGCTTGCTTTACCTGCAAAATGATTAACAAGCTCGTGTATCATAACTCTATAAAGAAGGCACGGAAAGCTTAATTTTACAACGGGATCACGAGCCTGGAGGCGCGTATCTGTCGCTCTTAGAATATTCAGGTGGTGTTTGTGTTTGTTATCTTGTTGCATAATTGTGTAAAGAACAGGGGCAGCAACTGGCACACCTGTTGGCATAGTTCATATAGGCAGCTGAGTAAATACACAGCAGTACAATTGGGAAGTCCTGAGAAGGTTTACAACGGCTTTACTTTCAAGTCATTCCACACATTCCTATCCCCTAAATGCTGTTTTACTCGGGCATCAGAGCCTAGTGATTCTGATTTTATGCAGTCTTGTATTTCTTTACTAACTTCTACAGTTAATCAAGGACATATATGTATTCCGAGCTTATGGCCTTCTCGTTCAGAACAGTTACTCTCATCTTGAACTGATTTAAATGATTCAGCCAAATGCCATTTTCTATGATGACACCTACAAAACAGGAGCATTGTAATGCAGATTTACTGTGATTCTGAAAACTTGCAAATGTGTAAACCACTGTCTTCATAAAACGACTAACTTATTGAAATGTTGGCTCCAGGTACATTCCCTGTTAAATGGCTTTTCATCATTTCAAACCTGCGTCTTTCCTGCACTTCAGTGTTGTCTAGTTAAATGGCTGTCACTTGAGGGAATTGAAAACTCTGGCAGATTAAGAAAGTAAAGGCCTACGTGGCAGCTTTCTGAAGGAAAAGAATGCCTAATTTCTATCAAGACAGTGCAAACACATTTGTGTTAACTTTTTTTCTACACAGGTTGAACTGCCAAATACTCATATGACTTATAAAACGAGTGCATTTACTTGTATGAGTGTTTTATACTTATAAGTAGATGTATGTGCTCAATTGTAGCAGCAAAGTTATGCTTGTAGGGAATGTCTTGACACATTTTTTGAAGGGAGCAGAGCTTTGCATGTTTGTTACACACACATAAAATGTGATTCATTCTTGGCCTCAAACCTGCAGTATAGCACAGTGTGTTGTTCTCTGAATTGGATGTCGAAATCTGCCGTGTGACAACATGGATGTTGTGTTTGCTGTTGTGTACTGTGCTGTGTGTGGGCCTATTATTTTTCTGTCAAATGTTTTTTTCTTTTCCTGCCCTTCTGCTCTCTTGTATTCCGGCTGGCTTGTGATATGGTATCAACTTCATTTGAAGTGTGAAGATAACTGAAACTTTTTCAATGCTTTGTTTTGTTTGTATAATTTCTTCAGTATTTGTCACGTTGACTTAATTTGGACTACAAGATGTACTACCTTATACTATCTTAATGGGCCATGGGCGAGGTGACAGTCTCGATAAAGGTACGAGTGCTGGCTCATAACCAAGTTTCATCGCAATGAATGTGATGCCATGTGTTGTACTGCTTTGTTATGCAAATGTGCCTACTTGTTCATTTTGCTACCTTCTGTTATTGTATGATACCTGAAGAATAAAATGCTGCAAGTGCCTCTGAGCGCAGGTAGCACTCCATTTTCGAGCCTTTTTATGCCACTTAAAAACGGCTGTCACAGGTATGTTTATTGTTTACAGTATGTAGATTTAAGAAACAAAAGGTGACAAGGCAAGTTTATAGAAGTTCATTAATTCTGTGAGTAAAATGCATGCCACAGAGATACATGGGAAAAATTGTCTGTCATTTTTGTGTTTGTGTATTGTAATTAAACTATGAATTACACAACAAACCAATGATAGACAACTAATGTTTGATTAGGCAGAAGCTACTAGCTACATGCACCAACAAAAACTGCACTATCGATAATGCCTATTCCCATCATTGCAGTCAACCTATGGCACATAGCACACAATGGCACGGAAACAAACACAGAACTGCATCTGTACTAGAACACTGGTAGACCACTGCAGAACACAAACCGTTATTGACGAGGAGAAAACAACTCAACAGTGTACCATTTGCACATATGTGCACAATGTGCACTTTTTTGCCTATCTAGTTTATTCAACGTGTTTACACTTCATCGTGGAATCATTTGTAACTGAATGTGCATATGTGCTCTTACAAGGTAGGTCATTTAGTTTTCTAATATATAAAGTACATAAATGGAAGGCTAGCAAGCGTAGAATGTTCCGTTCCATTCTTATGAACACTAATTTTGAATGCCTTTGCTTGTGAGCAGAGGATGCATTAGTAAAACATATTTGAGACAGTTGTGCCGATATTTGCTACAACACACAAATTGGCGCGTTGCAAGTGGAACGTCGCACTTTCAACTCTGACATCCCATGCCAGGCACGCGTGGATAAGGTGCACTTTTGAAATATGTGTCATAGATTTGCACAGTCGTGAGCACTGAGGATATCGACACCTTGGATAATGCAACGATAACGAGCCTTTTGCGGGCCAAGATATTAATTGCGGTATTATTGTATAAGACTTTATGATTGCGACATAGTTCAAATTACATGCAGCGAAGAAACAGACTCTGAAGATTGAAATCACTCGTTGCGTGCAGAAATATGTCTTCATAACGAACGTTACCAAATCTGAAAACTGAGAAGATGCTGTGCGATGTGCAAACTCAGTGAAGGAAAACAAGCCTTACCAGAGCATTTAATTCTTGGCGCTGTGCACTTTGGCTGTGCCTATCTGGCGGTCCTGTCAAAGAACATCTACCAGTTTCAGCATCTCACGTATTTGTAGTGCGTGTTGAATGGAAATGAATTTTTATGCGATGTTCATTGTTCAGTATAGGGTGTTTTAGTGTCGATTTTTAAGGTGAGAGAGTGACCGCAGCAAAGCCCACGCGCTGTCTTGTATACCATACAAGACACATACCATACTTTTATCTTAATCTTCAAGTTCCGTGCGGTTCGCTCAAAGTCCACGTGCAAAATGACTTTACGGTGTTTACGCTTTAACGTGCAAGAATGAGTGTATGCACATGTAGTTTCGGTTCGCCGGGCAAAGAAACCGAAACTAGGCGTTCACCTGGCGTGAACGAACTTGTGATACGGCAACAATGGGCAAAGTTATTGTGTTCTTTGTTTACATTCATTTTTGCCCGCGATCTCGCTTCTCTTAGGATAGGGAGCCAACGCTCAACTCGCGCTCACTTTCGCCTCACTACTGGCACATTTTCTCAGGTATTTCAATGTCAGTGTTCAGCCTCAGGGTAGTTATAAAAAACCTGCAGGATAGCCGTGAAGATGAAGACGACCTTGACATGGACTCTTACATCGCGGCATACCGAGAGCTGTCCAAGTGAGTAGCGCGATTGCACAGCTGTTTTCTTATTACCGCTTAGTGTCACTTCAATGTTTATACTACTGATGGCAAAACCGCTCAGAGGCGACGGTCATACGTCGTCTCACTTTGATATATAGCGTTAATTAAATTAAAAAGCGTGCGTCGTCAGCAGAAGGGCGTTGATACTTCGGAAAACCTTGACATAATCGTGTCCCGCGATGCGAAGCGATTGTGATAACGCCCTCCCCATGTATAGTTGGTCGTTTGTAGATGCGAAATGTAGCAGATTGGGATACATCCCGGTCCTGGTGTTCTCCGCCAATTCCTTTCGCTTTTAACGATTGCTTTTGTTTGTGGCCACGGTTGCGACAGGAAGCAATGCATATATATACGACGTTTTGGGCCCCATTCATTGGCTTGCGTGCTCAGTGTGCGCTCATTTTGAAATCCACCTGCTCGCTTGTTGAGACCACGCGTCCTGAGCCGGCTTGTATTGGAAACTGTTTAGCTAACATTGAAGACGAAAGCTAGATAGGGCGCGGTTAAACTGCAAGTTGAGTGGAAGTTAATTTTGATGCCGTGTTCACTATTCCTTTACCAGGTGTTTTGGGACCAAATAAACGAGACTCAATCTATTCCGAATCGAAGATTGGTGCAGATTTGGTCTAGTGTTTGTGTTGAGGTCAAGCAGCTGTCTCGTTTATTGGCAAGTCGGCATAGCATCGTTGCGCAGAGCTCCGAACTTTTGAATGACAGCACTTGAGCGTCTTATGTTTAGTCGTTCTGCGTGTCTTAAGTGCTGTTTAGCAGAGCTGCTAGGCTGAGTTATGCTTGTCATACATGGCACTACGCTTCCACTCATAGCAGCGCAAGAGCCTACGAATAACAGGACAATATATTATTCATAAGTGCTGGTTCTATGATCGCGGGACTTGCTTAAGACTCAGTGTGTGTGATCCGACCTTGATGTAGGACAGTTATCAAACTACCTGAAGTCTAAAATAACACACATCAACTATTTCTTCCTGAATGTGTAAAGACTAACTTCAAAACTGTGCCCTCGTCTGACAAAATACTGAAAAATATTCTGACAATGCATTCATACTGTCTTAATGTGGCTCACAACTAGTTTTGTGCATTGCAAATAAGCAAGTGTGGTACACATCACTTATCAGCAGACATGTCTTCACTACGCGAAACAGCTGCAAAAGATGATGAAATCTTTTGTGAAATGCTCAGTGCTGTGGGTGCAACATGAAGTAATATTTAAAAAAAAAAAAAGTTGCAGAACAATAAGCACGGGCTGCTCATAGGTTTCTACTTGCCTGGTTTTCTCTGGCCAAGCCACCACATTTTTACAGTGAAAGCTGTCGTGAGATCACAACACCGGTCGCGTGCGCACCGGTGTCTGTACCCACTACCTCGTGAAATAAGAAAAAAAAAACCTAAATAAAAACACAAAGGACACAATGAGATTCAAACCCAGGTCGCCTGCGTGCCAGCCCAGTATTCTACCGCTGAGCCACACCAGTTTTTTTTTCTTTATTTACCACTGAGCCGCACTGGTCACACCAGTGCTTGTAACTCATCTGCATACTGACCTTAGGCAGGCTTGGTGTTGGGAAAGTGATAGCAATATTAGGAGTAATAAAGCGTTTTAGAACCGCAAAGGAACAACCAAGTGTAACATAATGCGAACTGCGCAATAACTGGGTCATCGAACGCTCCGATTATTTACAAAAGCTTGATCTTGTTCATTTATTTACTGCAGCGCATACCCACTGTGAGGCATCGTGGGGTACTTCTGGCATAATTCTTCTTTGTTGTCAGCCGCAGCACAAAAAAATTGCATGAAGTTCCTTGCGAGTGTGCAGCGGGTGCCACGTTTCTCCAAAGAATGGTGATGGATGGCATATTGAGTGCCTGCCTACTGCACAATGATTAAAGCTGTAGTGGGTACCCTTCAAGTGTGCTTGCAGCAGCTACCCAAAGAGTGTTACAAAAAGGGCTCTCAAAGGCCGCTCTTCCAGCTTCCGCTGGAACTGTGTTGCGAAGATTTTTTTGTTTCGCCTGTGTGTATATACACGCACACAATATTCATGCACACTTTCCGTGCACATGCCTGTTGTAGTGAGGGGAGGGACCTTCAGAGACCTCCGCCACATACGTACTCGCAAAGCATCGCGGCTGGTACACATTTGTTTTCTGAAAAAAGGCTCTGAAAGGCCACTCACTCTTCCAGCTTTCGCTGTGACAATGCCATGTGTTCCGCGCAGGCCTGGCGGTTTTTTTAGACAGTGGCACGGTTGCTGGTCTGAACGTAAGACCGGCCATCGTTGGCTGTTTTTTTGCTGTTGTATTGAAATAATTTATTGATTTTATTTTTGCATCTTATCGGTGTAAGTTCAGAATGTTGAAGATACTGAATATTTTCAGTCAGTCGCCAACACTCTCGTGCAATTTACAACCAATTGCTGTGTGGTTCCCTTAAAAATGCAAAGTAATTGGGCCATCTGTTTATATCAATAATTTAACTAGAATGAGGAATGAACATCAGTGGCTACATGCTTGCATCTTGAGTGTAAGTTCTTTGCCTTTGGAGCAGTGAAAATTACATCACTATCTGTTCCGACCGATTGGGGACCTCAACCTGAGAACGAGAGCTGTCTGCTGGCCGTGGAATACAAATATTATTCATAATTGGTGGGGATTTAAGTCCGAAGTGGATAGCACATTTGTAGATGGAATTTTTTATCTGTGCAATCAGAATGGTTGACTTACCGTTTTCTTTATTTTTATTTTTATTTTATCGTACATGTACTTTAGGTTGCCTTCCGACTAAAAATTGAGCATGTAATCTGTTTTGCAGCATAATTTTCTACCACCTGTATACTTCCCCCACCCCCAAAGAACTGCTTTTTTTCTAGTGTTAAAGTGCCAACCCTAGAACTCATTACATGAAAATCTCATGCAGTATTCCAGCACTGGCACATAAATAATGGACAAGGAGTGATTGTGGCTTGAGAATGGAAGCTAGAAAGGCCCATTCGTATTGGCAAAAGACAGAGGCTGCACAACTGGGAACCAAGCAGCAATACTAACCACTTTTCACACCAGCTAATGGCATCTAGCCATGGTCACACTGATGTACTTCATGAGTGATGTCACAGACATCGGCTACTGCCAATGTAAAATAATTTAATGCGTCCTTCGCAAACTTTGAGAATGTAGCCACGTCGTTGAAAAGTGAAGCACCGAGAACGGCCACATTTAAACCAATGCGACCATTTGCAACTACTTGCAACCACCTTGATTGTACAACTGATGCGAGTTGCTGGTGTGAACGTGTCTTAAGATATCTCCTACATGTTACAGTTGCCCATTTTTTACTAAAATTTGCAATAGGGCCTGTAAGGGGCCCGTTAACCTTTTTACGTTGAAGATGTACATGTACGTCATCTGCTAACAGCCATAAGACAGTCAGAGGTGTACACATACTTCATTGCCTGTATGTTTGAAATGGACGTTATTTTTGGTCATTTCTCTTGCTTGGCATATGCTGCCACACTGATGAAATGTGTGAATTTTCGTCCTTGCGTCGGTGTTTCCAGTTTTCTTCTTTTCTTTAAAGGGGCCCTGAAACACTTTTTTAAGTAACCGTGGAATGGATTCACTAAAAGAGCTTATTGCCTCACAAATTCAACGCCGCAAAAATTTTAAGAATCCGTCCAGTACGAGCGGAGTTGAAAAGATTTGTCGCATGCTGCAATTGTGTTCTCTCTTCTCTTGTCCCGGCGAAAGCGCTGGAGGCTAAGCAGGGAGGGATGGCAGAGGCAAAGAAAATACATCGCATGCGCGTTTTGACCTAGAGCATTTTATTCTTTGAATACGCAGCTTTTTCTGCTTTTTCCTTGTGATCGCGCGCACACGCGTGGACAAGTCGCGACCTCCCGCAGTGATCCCTGTAACTTCCAAGCGTGCATCGCTCAAATCAGCCAATGGCTGACTGATGGCATTCTACACGCGATTTTTGAGCGTCTTCTGTCATTTCTCGAGAGAAGAGAAAGCAATTTTTAGCTGACTTAGATAATTTATTGTGAATTCCTGGCCACGTGCAGCGCTATAATATTTGGTTTGCGTGTTATCGGAAGCTTCTACTACTGATCTGCAGCTTTTTCTGACCGTGCTCAAAAATTGTTGCAGGGCCTCTTTAATGCCTTGCTAATGCAGGGCATCGGCTAGTTTCGGTTTTGTTTTTCAACCGATTGCCATCTGTTGCACTCACAAAAGTGATGGCTTTCTAGTTCAGAATTTTTCAAATGGTGACTGATTTGTTACTCTCTGATTTTTTTCTGCTGAGTAAGTGATCACGTTTTTTTCCCTGTGAATGCTCTCTGACACCAATAATGCTACTGTGGTCCATTTCGTGTCCAAGAGACTTGCAAAAACCACTTCCTTCTCATTGGCAATAAGACAAAAGATTAATACTGGTTTTAGACTTGTTTTATCTTTCTGGACAAGCTCAGAATCACATAGTTTTCTTTAGTGCACTGACCTGCGTAGTTTGCCTCAGTGAGCTCGGGTTTCTCTGTCGCAAGTCAGCCCAGCAGTGATTCCTCCGAACCGCTGCTCTCCTGCCAAATCTGAGTCTGATTCAGTTAATGGCAGCCCTTCATGCTACTTCAGCTACTTGCGAGTTAAGACTCTGATGTTGATGAGTGAGCGGCATCTTAAGGTGACGGTACCACCGTCGCCATCTTGCGAGTAGTTTCTGCTTGAGCCACCAGAAGACGCCACTAAGTCACGTTTGGAAAAAAGGGAGGAAAATGCCCTCTCCGCCGTCGTAGCATGCAGTGGCGAAGAGCCTGTTCCTGCTGGAACTAATCCATTCTTTTCGGGGGTGTGGCTGCTCCCATATCTCCTTTGAAACGTTTCAAATGTGCGTGACGCCCCCCCCCCCCCCCCCCCCCCCCCGCTCCCCAATAACAACAACAGCAACAAAAAAAGGCACGGACCCGAGAGCCTTTGTACTCCCGCGGCTTCGCACGGAATAAATTTTTGTTACTTTGCTAAAGAGTACTCGCAAGCTGCAGAGAGGGCACTGGTCTCAACCATTCTTTTTTTCTTGAGGCACCCCATGCGGTCACTATGAATTGAAACTTCACCGTGGCTCGAAAATTCTCTATTTCAGAATCGGCGTCCAGATTTTAGACATTGTGGAAGTCTTTAGTGATGTGTTTTTTTTTTTTCGAAACTTGACCTCAAAACCCTTTTGACGTCAAATGACCCATTTATAGGATACTGGAAAGGCGTTCTTTCAATGACAACGTTAGGTGACATTTTATTCAAATTCGCTGTGCCCCCCCCCCCCTCTATATTTTTACCATCTTCAGTGTCTCGGCACTTGTGGGACTAAATTTCGTGATTGCAGCACGCTAGCTGATTGAGACCCCTGGCCTAGCGAGTGGAAGCTGCAAAATTGGTCCCGGCACCACATTTGTCATTTGGGGGATAGGCGGCTCACACATATGCCTAGGTCCATTGGAGGGGCACGCTTGAGCGCGCCTATGTTTAGTGCGAACGCCTCATTTACTAGGTGTCTAGCGGCCGATGCCAGCGATACTGAGACGGTAAATGAGCTACGTCGCGCGCTCTGGTCAGTGAAGGTTGGTTGGTTGAAAAACTTTATTTCTGGTCAGTGAAGGGTGCCTAGAAAATAAGACATCACATGATCTACATGAGAAAAAGGATTATCTGCTAAATTTAGTTTTGCTATAGGTTGTTATAAATTGTGCGCGTGTTGTCTATTTCGCGCAGTGCAAGCTTTATTCCTGTGTTTCCAAACTTCAGTAGGCGTCGGGACGCGTTACGTTTGTTTTGCTGCGCGCGGCTGGGAACGCTAGAGTTCACGCAGCCATCCGCACTTTTCGCTGCAGTCGGGGAAATATGGCTCGCTAACTAACGGCTTGCAAAAGAGTTACTGCGCATATGCGAGTAAGCTTGTTTTCCACACGAAAGCCTCAACCACAGACTAGCAGACGAATAATTTTTTTTTTCCATTTACCACTAATCCCTGTCTTTCCTTTCTTTCGTTTTCTCCTTTCTCTCAGTGGAAGAGGAAACTTACAATGAGGCGTGACATTCCTGAAGTATGTTTTGAGAAGTCTTGGTGCTGATCCTGCCCCTTCGTATGAATGTGGAGTGGTGAACACGTTTAGAGCGAGAAAAGCAGTCAGGGAAGCAGAAGTTTTACAGGTGTTTGCAAAGTGGGCGCCAGGTGCAACACCCTCTACGACGGAGTTGCCTTGTCGGCGCATTCGGGAAACGGGAGACAGCATGAACGAATGGATTCGCAGCGCGCCGTTGAGTACACAACGAGCGCGTAGCAATGGGCATTTCTGAGAACGCGGCATCCGCTCCCGTCATAGTGTGATGACGTCAAGAGGCCTCAGCTAGTCTAGAGGGTATTGGCCAGGGGTCGCTCACTATTTTGCAAAGGCCAACATAAAAAAAAAAGAAAAAAAGAAAGATTTTTTTGTCGAGCCAGGTGGCACACTTGTCACCACCCCATTATAACGGGGACGCTCATATCATCCATCCATCCAACAAGGCTGTTGCAGTGGTGGCGCGCGACGCAGAGGTAGTGATTTACGTGGACAAAAATTGAAGCCGTGCAGACTAACTATACGAACTGGTACGGGGTGTGTACGCCTGTGGAGTGTTTTAGTTTATTTACTTGATAGGTGTTTTTTTTTTTGTTGTTCTCTGGTTAGGGCGAATTAATCTTGCCCGCCCGATACAAAGGGATCAGCCTCAAATCATCAGAGTCAATGGGCCTTTTTCAGGCCCGAACAGTGCCTCCAGTGGAGATCACCGAAATCGAAACTGGGAGTCCGTGGCCTCCGAAGTTATCCGCCACGGCCCGGTAGAAAAATCTCGTAGGCCTGGTATTTTTCGGGATAATTTGCAAACGACGCCAGGTGCCCTTCAGTTCGCACCTGTCGCCGCCCTGTGCAACGTTTATAGAAGCTGTTTGGCTCTGTTACTCCCCCAAAACATGGCGTCAAGTCACCACCACTTGCACCACTTCGCATGGGCAGGCTAGTCTCCCGAAAAAAAGTCCATTGTTATCGTAGTTCAACCGGCGTCAAGTGAAATATTCAAACACACATACACTGCCAGACACTCGTCACCTCCCTGCGATGGGAAAGCGCGCTTCAGATAATGTCCTACGGGCTTCAAAAATACGGGGAGGCAAGGTCCAGTTCTTTGTGTCCTTCAAAAACGCTTCTACAGTCACCTGAGTACAAAGGCGAGCAACCAAGCAATTCCTGGAATCTTTGGCACAATAGCCTAACCTGCTGGCTATGCATTCCTGATGTACAGTGCAACACGCTTTATTTCCTTCTTCCTTTCTCTCTCTCCTTCTCTTTCTTTCTTTTTCAGCAGGATTTAGCCACTGAAGTCTAAAGAAGTCCGTCCGTGTTTTGGCGGCTTAGTTATGTTTAGAAGCGCCACTTTTGACGAACGTCAGAACTGGCGTAAAACAACTTGATGTTTTTTTGACAGATGGCGCCACCGTCAAAAAATGTTTGCGAGCTTTATTATTTTCAAAAAATCTTTTGTTTCAAGCACCGCTTCGTAAAGTTAGTGAGTACTGGTGATTAGAAGACACTACATGGTCCTGCTAATGTGCAATACTTGTTGTGAACTAGCCTACAAAAGACAAAAAAAGGAAATTTGCACGAACCTGGCAAGCAGAAAAATGAGCTAAATTCACTACTGTCCTACAAATTTTCTAATTAACTTACGACAATTTTCTCTTCATAGAAACCTAGGGAAATGCTTGCTGATTTATTATTGAAGATTTCAGAGTTTCAGCTTGGATAGTTTTGTCCCTTCGTCGGTAATGCCTGACCAAGTAGCGCCATAAATTGCCGTATTGAAGGAGTAATAATTCAAGAACTGTTCATCAGAACACAAAACAACTTCACGTACACGTAATGTACATTGTAGCCTGGAAACCCATTTAATATTGTTGTTCTGCACAAAATAGAAAAAAAGTTATTTACTCATAAACTTTCATTCTTTTGCCCATTTTTATTAGAGCGTGCATCCATTTCTAATTGCTTTACTGGCAATATCTCTTCATAGAAATCTTGCATAACGCTTCGTTAAAAGGCTCAGCAAATTTCATTTCGTTATGTTGGACAGTTTTGCTGCACTGGCAGTACAACGGAGGCTTGTACAGCAAAAACGCTGTTTTTTGCTCACACTGTTTTAATTGCCATGAAATAACACCCCAGACTAGGCAAAAATACTAGTTGTCATTAGAAAGCGGAGAACGTAAACTTTCTAATGCAATAGAACTCATATTCTTCCATTGAGCAGAGCAAGCACAGTGAGCCAGTAAACAACGACTAAAATGTCGAGCTCTTGCCACTGGAGTGGGACCGCCACCTTAAAAGCGTGGGCGGCGACACGATGCTGACTGGATAAAAGTGGTTTTTTTCCCGCCGTATTTTCATTTAACATGACTTCATGCAGTTATTTTGTGTAGTCTGCGAACTATGCATATGTTTATTTTAATGCAAAATTTTTTAGGTCACATAAGATTTTTTCTAGAATTTATCTTGCTCTTACTCACGAATAAACCATGTGTGTGCAAACACGAATGTTTTTTTTGTCACATTAGTCTGCCAAAAATATTTTAGACAATTTTTTCTGAAATATATGTGTCTCAATAATTTAATTCAGTAATGAAAGATGCATATTTTTGGGACACATTTCACCAAAACAATAGACCCTCAAAAGGTTAATTATAGTACAACCTGGTAGTCACATAGAGATATTGCTTTGAGAATGTTTCATTGTTGAAGAGCTTGAATGCACCAAAACATATCTTATTTCCCCTTCCTCCCTATCAATAGAATTAGTATTATTAGCTTGTAATGATTGCAATTAAATATAATTATGGTTTATAAATGAACTGGATGGATCCAAAAATGTAGTCAGGCATGCACGCTAAAAAACCATCTAAAATAGTGCTGTAAATATTTACTGAATATCGTAGCATTAAGGGCAGGGAACCTCATGCAACATTGTATTTATTAATTGCGAAGGCCCCGCCGCTGTGGTCTAGTGGCTAAGGTACTCGGCTGCTGACTCGCAGGCCGTGGGATCAAATCCTGGTTACGGCGGCTGCATTTTTGATGGGGGCGAAAATGCTGTAGGTTGGTGTGCTCAGATTTGGGTGCACGTTAAAGAACCCCATGTGGTAGAAATTTTTGGAGCCCTTCAGTACGGCTTCTCTCATAACTATAGGGTGGTTTTGGGATGGTAAATCCTACATATCAATCAATAATTGTGAGGAGGGCAGAATAGTATAGGAAAAATGTGGCATCGGTCAAGCAAAGATTCTCAACAGCGGAGTTACGTGTCTAAAATTCTGGTTAGACTCTTCTTCAAAAGAAGTGGAACCCACACTTGCCAACTTCTCCCTACCATGCATATTTAGAACTGTGCCCATGAAAGCACTAGAGTGTTGTATGAGCAACCACCTTCTCGGGGCCCTTCCTTGCCCTACAACTCTGCTGGTTTCTGCCAACAGGTTCTTTGAAGGCCTCGGTTCACTGTTTGGCTTCATCAACTCTGATGTGAAAAGCAAACTGGACATCTTGGATGACTACCGCAAGTCAGATGATGTGGGGGACAACTACGAAACGCTCAACTCCATGATCGAGTACGAGAAAGAGGAGGGCATTATTGCGGATGAGAAGAAGCCGTCAGGTTCGCGGACACTACTTCGGCTCCACAGAGCCCTTGAGTTCATCGCTGCTCTCTTCAAGTGAGTGTAGGCTGTAGTGCTTAAGGTTTACACTTCTGTTCTGAAGGAACGCTATAAAGAACGATGCTTTTTTTTTTTGAATTGGTAAATCACTCTTTCACAGCATCAAAGATGCCACATTTGCTGCAAGAAGATGCTTGATATGGTAGAAAACACGCAAAAGGAAAATGTGGGTGCAGACGCCAACTTGAAGTGTCCTCACAAGTTTTTGTGACCTCACAAATTTCGACCGCCTCTAGTAGCGCCTGTATAGTTTGTAAACGGCAAAAATGAACTGCACTGCTTTATAAGAGAGTGGGAGACCTGGCAAGTTTCAATAAGTTGCATTGAGCGGATGTGGCTAATATATGAAAAAACGCCTCCAAATCCATGATGGCAGGATGTTGCCACCCGGGATCCTATCGGGAAATTTAAAAGGGAATTTTTTTACATTAACGGTGTCATTTATTAGTAAACTGAGAGTGTTTAAATTACGGGCGTTATACTTCTCAGAAATCAGTTTGTCACTCTAAAGTAACTTGTTGTTTGACATTAGTTTTATTTTAAAGCAACATATTCTTTCTGAACCCTGCCAGGCTTTGCTGAAATTATCTGCTGTTGCTGTCTTGCCATATACTAGTCAATACAGGATAGCAGTAATGGAATTAATTGGCTTCCTACATTCATACATCCTACAGACAGGCTGCTTGCTGTCTGGCTTTATTCTGTATGAAATGAGGCAATAGAAAAATAAATAATGCTACGAAATACTTTAGCCTTAAAAATGAAGTTATGAATAAGGCCTTTATGATGGTCACGTCGTCACATATATCAATGATGCTTGCACTTGTAGCACCTATGCTTTGAATCGAACGGCTAACCCGCTCATTAACACATAGTTGGACTTCGTACTTTCTTAGCTAAAATGGTTTACATATCTATCTCTGTAGTCTGCTGCGATCGATTCCTTGGCGTTCTGGAAACACGCGCAAAGTCTTGGCTGCGTCTGCATTTTTTGCAGTCCAACCATGAATTACTTGCAAGTTCAATGCTGTTCTGTGCATTCATATTTATTTCATGCATGTGTGCTTGCAACTCTACCTGTTAGAGCTGTCACATAGTAATCTGGTTGAAATCGAGAGCATGAAACACATTCACCTTGTTCTTTTGGTGCTGCATTCCAGCTAGGAGTGCTTGAAAAGGTATGCACCTGCAATATGTTAATATCACAATGTGCGTTGACCCTAGGATACACAATTTCTAATATTGATGGGTGTCACACACTTCTAGTGAGGCCCCGCCGATCCAGCAACGGCATTGTGGCAGGCTTGCAAGCTTCCGCTTTACGCTTCGGCCTGCGACGTCCGAAAGGCCTCGAAGTGGTACCTTTCCAATTTTTTTGTAAGATGGTTGACCTGTGCGGAGTTGCACGTGTAGTGATGTTAGGGTTAACGATGGTATTCGTACAACAGACATGGACATTTAAAACAGAACAAACAAGCATTTAATTAAAATGAGGGTAATGGCAGGAACTCGTAGAAATCAGCTGAGAGCAAAAATAAAACACACCCAATAAAAACGAGAACAAAAAGACAAGCTATGCTTTAAGAGAATACTACAAGTACAATTATACACAAAGCGGTATGGTAATCGAATAACTGGACATAATAGAAACTAAGAGAGACACAAAGAAAAAAAATAGCCCTGTATCTGCTTGTTAATCTGCAAATGTCGTCGAAAGATGAATGTCACGCGTGTGGAGAGAGTGAACGAAACATTTATTTGATGTTCTGCGCAAGAAAATCGGTGAGTGGTATTCTGGAGGGTTCTGCGTTAGAGTGCCTCCAGCGTGCAGCGGTGATGAACGAGCGCATCAAGGTGTGGAACACGTGAGACATGAGCGCTATCTAGCAGTTTTCTTGGAAAACGATACGCGCGGTTCTGAGACGGGCGTGCGCCCGTCTCAGAGGTGATAAGGTGTAGAACGCAAGGCGACGAGTAGGTGCCACCACCGTGGCGTCTTAGCAAAGCATTGGAAGCACTTGCCTTTCGGGCAAGCGTTGCATGGTCAGCGCAGCGTGATAAACACTACGGTCCTTAGAATTACTTACGTATGCCTTTTCTAGCAAAGACGCACATACAGAATATATATGAGTTGTTATGGTGCCTCAGATATGCACAATAATTGCTTTTTAATTGACAATCGCACAAGTATGAACGCTGAATCTTGAGCAACATTGGTGGACACTGCGAATCGGGTCGGTCATTTGGCGCATCCACTGGTGCCGTTCAAAGTACCCGGTACCGTTAATGGTGGACAAACAGACAAGTGTACAGACAGACAGATAGACAGACCAACATTTTTGCGTTGAAGGTCCCCAAGGAAGACTACCATATTTAAAAAAACTACGAGACAGATTGTGCTCCCGCTTTGGAGCTTGTCACGCAACGAAACGCTGCGCACTTGAAGGAATATTTAAAGCTGAGTATAAAAAAATATTTTGGTAACAAAAAAAAAAAAAGTCACAGAAAAAGAGTTCCGTATAGACCATGCCAGCTCGTGGTGCTCGTAGAAGAATTGATGGAGTTCTACAGATGGTCTCGCCAGTTTAGGTAGACAACGAGGGTGCCCGGTGTTGCAGCCAGCTCAATTCGTTGCATAGGACACTTAGTGCTCGCCGCCTACCCGAGACTCGTAACACTGCTGATTGCGCTCTTGAATGGTTGAACGTCGACTAACTGCCGAAGGAGTGAAATTCTTCTGGGGCGTATGCATGCCCCCTGGAGGTCATTTCTTCCGAACACACACGTGCTTTTTCGCTGTAGGTGCAGGGAAGGCTCGGTGGGGCCATTCCCGCATTGTCCATTGCCGGAAGTTTTCCAATACAAAGGCACCCTTCCTTCGATGAAGGGATGGGCAGGTGACATTGGCTGATATTTGGGACATTGAGAAACAATCTGATTACCAATACGATGGTCAGCGTCACTCTGGTTTTGTGAGGACATGATTTTATAGATGAGATTGATTTTGTGTATGCGTCTGTAATCAAACAGTGTAGTAGACAGTGCTCAGAGTGTGCCGTGCTTATGCATCATGTTGTAAATCTCATTACTTTTCACCTATGTTTGGCACTACCACGTCCAAAGTGGATGCTTGATGCAATATTAAAAAAAATTGCAAGGGTGTGCCATCTCCTTTGCATTGGAAGCACAATTTAAGCTCGTTAAGCACTTGTACAGCCTAGTGTAGCAGCTCATCCAGCTTGCTTTGTTGGTGTGGCATGTGCTGCCAAATTGCCTGGGAGCTGCACACATTATCTAAAACTAAAAAAACTCTGATGTGTAGTTTGTCCAAAACTCGTGATTCGCTTTGAAAAGCTGGCAGCTGTTCTATTTGATCACATTTTCTCTAGAAATAATCAAGAATGAGCTACGATGTTGTGGCAGCCTGAGTCAATGCGTAGTAGGAACTGTCCTGAAGTGATACATTCATGAACTCAAGCGCTGCTTGTATTGCTCTAAGATACAAGGTGAAAAATCGCATTCCTTTTTTCTTGTCCAGAGCTATCAGCACTGCCAACGATGATGCATCTGTTGCGTAAAATGGCAAAAGAGAGCTACGACCAGACACTTGCCAAGTATCACCCGTGGCTTATCAGGAAAGGAGCTTCGGTTGCCATGTTGACTCTCCCGAAGGTCCAAGACGTAAGAAATTTTTTCGCCCTTTGATTATGTTCATGTCCATCAATATGCGCACACAATTCGCCGGCATACAACGTGTACAGAAGACTTCGTGAGTCGATGCATTATCAGTAGGTGCTAGTTACATGTGGCTACTTCACTCGTCACTGGTATATATGTTGGTTTTGTTAGTTTGTAAGGATCAGTTCAGAGGTTATTAATGCATACAAGAATAGGAAAACAGTGCAGCACAGGTAGAGAACACTCAGAGGTAAAGAGCCTGCCTTCCCTGTTTTGTTTTCCTAGTGCAGGCATGTAAATAGCTTTTGGTGTGACTTCACAACAGTGTGCCTACTTTTTCATGAAGTGGCTCGTGCCTATTTTTGAGACTGAATTAAATATGATACAATATTGCAGGATTGAACCAGATAACGATTATTATATCAACAGTGTTAAGGCGTTTATTAGCCGGCAACCAGCGAGCATACACAATGGCGACAGTCACGGCGTAGCATGGACTCCTAGCGCAAACGGCGTCCTTGTTGGGTAGCCCCACTAGAAGGTACTCAAGAGTTCGACCCATTTCAGAATGTGGAGGCTTCGCTACAATTACCCCGGGGTCAAAGAGGGAACCGCCTGGCGACCTAACAGCTTGTTACTATGAGAGGGTCATAATAATCGTTCAGGCACTCCACGTTGACGATGTCGTGCCCACGGCGGCGCATGTCGGAAGATTGTTCGACGGGTTCGATCATTTAGTTGACCGGAGATGGGCGCTCGATGACACGGTAGGGGCCTTTGTATTTGGGAAGTAGTTCTGAATAAAATCCAGCTACAGGGGTCGGGATCGAGAGCCATACAAGCGCACCAGGAAGGAACGTGGGCTCAGAAGTGGTGAAGCTCGTATCCCGGCTGCGGCGGCTGCATTTGCGATGGAGGCGGAAATGTTGTAGGCCCGTGTGCTCAGATTTGGGTGCACGTTAAAGAACCCCAGGTGGTCAAAATTTCCGGAGCCCTCCACTACGGCGTCTCTCATAATCATATCGTGGTTTTGGGACGTTAAACCCCACAAATCATCAATCAGAAGTGGTGAAGCCATCACGAATACTTTTCTGCCGCTCTTGCTCATGCGTCATAAAATTCTTGGCAAGCTTGGGACACTCTTTAGCAAGCCTGGCTGTCTCAGAAATAGGTGCACACTCAGATGGATCTGGTGTGTACGGGAGTATCGTGTCCCTGGCTTGCGACGGGTGCCTTCCATACAGCAAAAAGCAAGGTGAAAAATGGGTCGTGCACTGAGGGGCAGTGTTGTAGGTGTAGGTGACAAAGGGCAGTATATTATCCCAATTCGTGTGGTTGGTGGCAACGTACATCGAAAGTATGTCGCCGAGGGTGCAGTTAAAGTATTCGGTGAGGCCATTCGTCTGCGGGTGGTAAGCAGTAGTTTTGCGGTCGACAGAATGGCACTCCGCCAGAATGGCTTCATCGACTTCCGACAAGAAGACTCGGCCTCGATCGCTGAGAAGCTGCTGGGGTGGTCCGTGGCGCAGTATGAATTGATGTAGCAGGATGCACGCAACGTTATGCACAGTAGCCGCAGGGAGAGTGGCGATTTTGGCGTATAGCATTAAATGGTTTACGGCAACGATGGCCCAGCAGTTACCAGCCGACGTCAGAGGAAGTGGTCCATACAAATCGATACCTACACACCCAAATGGACGGTCAGAGCAAGGTAATGATTGCAGACAGGCGCGCGAAATGTGTGCTGACGGTTTGCGGCGCTGGCAAGCGAGGCAAGAGCGAACGAACTGCTGCACGTAGCGGTACATCCCGCGCCAGAAATAGCGTTGTCGAATGCAGTGGTAAGTTTTGGATACCGCAGAGTGCGCACATTGCGGATTAGAATTGAAAGATTCACGTATCTCCGACCGCAGACTGCGAGGTATCACAAGTAACCACTGCTGGCTATCAGCGTCGTAATAGCGTCGATGTAGGAGGCCGTCGTGGATGGCGAAAAGGTGAGCTCGACGTTGCAAGGCAGGCGTGAATGGTGTTGCGGATGGATCAGAAAGCAAGTCGATCAGCGGGGCGATCCAATTGTTCTTTCGCTGTTCGGTAGCGAGGATGTTAACATCGATGGCAGAAACAGCAGTTGAGGTTACTGAGCAGGGCACGTCGTGTTTGGGTAGAGGAGAGCGTGAGAGGGCATCGGCGTCAGCATGCTGGCATTCGTTGCGGTACAGCACGCAGACGTCGTAGTCTTGTAAGCGAAGAGCCCAACGGGTGACACAGCCTGAGGGATCCTTCAATGATGACAGCCAGCATAGTGCATGATGGTCGGTGACGACAATGAATGGGCCACCATACAAATAAGGTTGAAACTTTGTAAAGGCCCAGACGATTGCCAGGCACTCTTTATCCGTGGCGGTGTGGTTTGTCTCGGCTCTCGGGAGCGTACGGCTTGCATATGGTACGACATATTCAGGGAACCCGGGTTGGCGCTGCGCCAGGACAGCACTGAGGCCTACACTGCTGGCGTCCGTGTGCACCTCCGTTGGGGCTGTAGGGTCGTAGTGGCGTAGAATGGGAGGAGACAAATGGCGGAGCTTTGCGAACACATCGTCGCACTTGGATGACCACAAATTGAGGGGCTCATTACTTCCAAAAAGCTTCGTCAGCAGAGATATGATCGTGGCAGAGTTCCGCATGAAGCGTTGGAAATATGAGCACAGGCCCACGAAACTACGCAGTTCTATGACGGACGAAGGTTTGGGGAATTCGGCCACGGCCCAAAGCTTGGCCGGATCAGGAAGAATGCCGTCTTTAGACACGACATATCCTAAGGTGGTGAGTTGCCATGCTGCAAAGCGGCACTTTTTGAGATTTAGTTGCAAGCTGGCATTCCTCACACGTGCGAAAACTTCTTTCAAACGTTGGAGATGCGTGGAGAAATATGGAGCGAAGACAGTGACATCGTCGAGGTAACACAAGCACGTGTACCATATCAAGTTGTGCAGAACGGTGTCCATTATGCACTCAAAGGTCGCAGGTGCGTTACATAGACCTAACGGCATGACATTCAACTCGTACAAACCGTCAGGTGTGACGAAGGGGTCTTCGATCGAGCGTCATCAGCCATGGGTACTTGCTGAGTGAAGATGGAGGGAAGAAAAAAAATCGGCTCTGTGAAAGCTGTCAATCGCGTTTGATGCATGGCAGTGGATAAACGTCCTTGCGAGGGATCTTATTGAGCTGTCTGTAGTCCACACAGAACCGTCTTTCTTCACAACAACAACAACAACAGGAGACGTCCATGGACTGTCCAAGGGCCGAATAACATCGCATCGGAGCATATCGTGAACCTGCTCATTAATTACCGGACGTTCATCAGGTGACACGCGATATGGACATTGCCGTAAAGGTAGATGGGCACCAGTGTCGATGTGATGCGTAACAGCGGACGTGCGACCGAGTGAACTTCGCCCGACATCGAAAGAAGAACGACATTCTTGCAACAGGTCGAGAAGTTGGGAACGCTGTACTGCTGGAAAGTTGTCAGCGATGGAGGGGCCAAATACATCAGCAGATGACGGATCAGAAGTGGAAACAGCATTGATGGTATGCGAACTGGGACAATGCTTGTCATCGGGTACGTCCAGGACTTGTGCATGATTGACTAGTTCCACTCTGCCGAGACATTTCTTTCGAAGCAAGGTAACAGTGTACGGGGATGGGTTGGTTAGGAAAATAGCAGCCTTGCCCTGGGTGACCTGCACGGTCGCGAAAGGTACTTGCAAACCTTTTCTGTTACAAGCGCGGTCGGATGGCGAAACGAGTGCAAATGTGTCGGACAGACCGACACAGCCGTCGTCGAGTTTGGAGGCACTGTTGTATCGTCTTTCATGAGAATCTTGCTCAGTGTCGAGGGACTGTCTTCTGGCGTCAAATGCGAGAAGGGTGAGAGTTCAATTTCGGCGGAGGCACAATGGATGACGGCGTCGTGGCGGGAAAGTCCCATCCCAAAATGACGTCATGAGAGCATGCCCGAATGATGATGAACTGGACGACATACAGAACGTCCTGAATGACAACCCGAGCGGTGCACCCTGCTGTAGGATGAATACGATGCAAACTAGCAGCACGGAGGGACAACCCAGAAAGTGGCGTCATCACTTTTCGAAGTAAGCGGCAGAGTTGTTCGTCCATAACTGATACAGCAGCTCCAGTGTCAATAAGAGCCAATGCACGAGCACCGTTCACAAGCTTGTCAATGACATTCGATGGGCTGCTCTGAGGGCTTTCACATTGCGATAGCGTCGCAGTCCTTGCCTCGGGGACTGCAACTAGTTTTCCCACTCATGAGCAGCTAAACTTGGCCACATGGGGGACAGGAAACGACGTAGTGGAGATGGCGACCTTCGAGGAGATTGACCTGGGCGAGACGGCGGTGACATAGACGATGGCGGTTCGTCGTGATAGGGGCGGCTGAACTGGCCAGCAACAGGCGAAGAAATAGGAGCCGGCTGTACGCGAGGGCAATAACGTGCTACGTGACTGGCATAACCGCAGGCAAAGCAGATGGGCCGGTTGCCGGGTGCGCGCCATCGGTTCGCCGGGGTAGGTCTCACCCATGTCACAAGAGGCGATGGACAAAACGGTGGCTGGAAAGGCTGCATGGTGGGCTGAAGCTGAGGCTGAGGGGTTGTGTCAACATACGTTTCGGGCGTACCCGCTGCAAAGGACGGAGGTCGAGCGGCAGCTTTGGCGTAAGTCAGAGAGGCGGGTTTTGGAACGACTTGAAGTGGCCTGGCGACCACTAGGGCGTAACTCAGGAACGAAGGAGACGGAGGTTGGGGGGTTAGTATGCAGGCATGACATTCGCTATTTCCTGCTCAATCGCTCGACGGATAGGAGGTAGAAGGGTAGCGGTTGATTTTTGAATATCCGGTGGGTGGGCAAAGAGCAGGAGACAGAACTGGTGCATGATTTCCTCATGGATGAAAGACTTGAGGTCTGCCATCAAC